CAGAGGCCTGCTTAGTGGTTTGCCCAAGAGTGGAAACCGAAAAGCATTAACATTTATTTACACAAAATCCTTTATGTAACTCTTTTAAGAATTTTCAGTTTAAAAACTAAACCATTCTGTATTATTTTAATAGATTCTAACAATTTTGCATTCAGCTACTCCATTGGTATGCCTGAGCACATTCTAAAACGAAAAATGATTCACTCTGTGTGCTTGTGTAGGTTTTCATATGACTAGGATCAATGATGATGATATAAAAATACCCAAATTTACTTGTTTTTTATTTTACTTTTGTGTACTTTTATTATGTAACATTAAAAACAGAGAAGAGTTGAAAGAATAATATAAACGAAAGCTTGTGTATATATGATTGCGCTTTATCAAACCTGCACATTTTAAATGGATTTTTAAAAAATGAACATTTGGGTGTGTAAAGTTATGCAAAGGTAAAAGGCAGCAGAAAAAAAATGATACTGCACGGATTATCTTTCAGCTACTTTAGTTTTTCATCTATGGCTTGGGGGGAGAAAATTTTATTATGTTTTTAGACACCTGGTTTGCTAAGTAGCACAGGACGCGTTAGAAGAAATTGCACTCTTGGTGCAAATTCCTACCGGTTATCTGCAGCTGTGTTCCATTTAACCCACCTAAGCCATAAGAACGTCAAAGTTTTTTAATCTCTGAGGGTAGTTTATATAAATCTGTAATAGTAAAAATATTTTAATGGTAGGAAATAAAAGTGCATTTTAAGGTCAACAATCAATTTTTAAGCTCGAAAAGTAGAAGTTGTATCGAAGCCTCAGGTCCCGGGTCTGCCTCAACAGGTATGGAAGACCTTCTGCGGCAGACCCAGGTTTTGGTAGATTCTTTGTCGAGGGGCAGGACGGTGCTGCTGTTTTGGACCAGATTTTCTCAGGCCAGAGCACTGAGCGGGGCAGCCAGGCGGGTCGCTGTGCCGCCAGAATTGCCCCGGCCCCCACGGTCTCCGCGGCAGGGGGAGAGAAGGGCTTTCCTCCACTCCGGGTGTATTTGTGGGGTCTAGACGGCCCCTTAGTTTAGTCTCGGGGTCAGGAGGTCAGGCCTTGGAAGCACAGCTAACGCTAAGGCCCTTTATGTGTCTTCTCTGTCTTTTAGAGTGTACGTGTAGTTCCGGTGAGGCGAGGAGGCTTCGCCGCGGGCCGACCAGGCCGCTTCTCCGCAGGCCCGTGGGGGCGCGGCAGCTCCGGGGCGGGCTGGGTGCGGCGGGAGGCCTCTGGGGTGGCGGCCCCGCCAGGGCCGAGCGGGGGGGCTGCTGTCGGTCCGGGGGCCCGTCTTTGCCCT